TTTCTGATGAAGGGTCTAGGCCCGAAACGTCGGCCTTTCTGCTCCTGTGGTGCTGCTCGGCCTGCTGTGTTCGTCCAGCTCTGCACCTTGTTGTCTCGGATTCTCCAGCATCTGCAGTTCCTACTATCTCCCACAAGACCATTATTGTTTGTAATAAATATGATCGATTTAGACTTCTGAATCAAAAACATAGTTTCTAAATTTGAGGATGATGTGAGAATTTGAGTCCATTAAAGGAAAAAAAAACAAGCACTGTGGCTAATTTCTGGATGGATAGAATTGAAAAGTAGATGAGATACGCACAGTTGGAACGCTATTCTGTATACAGTTCTGGTCATCCTTTAATGCAAGTGTTATAGAAGTACAGGGGAAGATTAAAAATATTTACAAGGATGGTACTGGGAATGAAAGGTGAAATCTTAAAGAAGATAAGCATGCTTATGGAATGTCTATTATAAATACCAAGAGTATTACAAACAAAAACAGAAACTGTGGTGACACTCAGCTGGTCTGGCAGCATTTGTGGGAAGAAAGCAGAGTTAACATTTCGAGTCCAGTGTCTCTCCGTCAGAACTGATAGCAGTGAGGAAAATGGTGTATTTATTCTGAAGGGAGATACAAACGGGATAGGCAGACAAATGAATTATTGATAGTAGGTCAGGACAGACAGAATCTAAATAAATGATAATGAGAGCTGAGAGTAGGAGAGAAGGATTGGCTGTGACGGATCTGCGTCAACCATCTCCCGCATTTCCACTCTCATCCCTTCTCTTCCCTTCCACAACAACAACAACAACAGAGTCCCCATTGTCTTCACTTATCACCCCACCAGTCTCCACATTTAAAGGATCATAAGCTGCCATTTCCATCACCTACAGCAGAATTTCACAACTGGACACAAAATCCCTTCTCCTATGTCGGCATTCCGCAGGGACCATTCCATCCAGGTCCACTCCTCTTCTGTTCCTATCACTTGCCCACACCCCCAGAGGGCCTTCCTGTGCAATTGCAGAAGGTGTAACACTTGCCTATTTGCCTCTTCCCTCTTCATTATCCCAGACCTACCTTCAGGTGAAGCAGCGATTTACCAGCATTTCATTCAATCTAGTCTACTGTATTTGCTGTTCACAGTGTGGTCTCCTCTACACCGGGGAAGAGGGATCAAAGATGGGGTGACCACTTTGAAGAACACCTACATTCTGTCTGCAAAAATGGCCCCAATCTTCCAGTTACCTGCCACTTCAACACACCACCCTGTTCCCAAGCCAACATCTCTGATGCAAGCCTGCTGCAGTGTTCCAGCAATCCTCAGTACAAGTTCAAAAAACAGGATCTCATTTTCTGGTTGGAACACTGCAGCCTCTAGGACTCAACATCAAGTTCAAGAACTTTAGAGCCTAATTCTGTCCTTACGTGTTTTTTAGCCATCTCCACACCTTGTTCCTTTCATTACAAGGGTTGCTTTCAGCAAAACCAATTCATTATCACCCACTTTTAGTCTTATTATCACATATCATGGTTGCTTTCATCACAGCCTACCAATTCTTTCCTCACTTTCAGCTCTCATTATCACTTATTCAGCTTCTCCTCTTGATGTCTAATGTCAATCAATAATCCCCCTTATCTGACGACCACTTTCATATATCTCTCTGTCTCTGGGCTCCATCTCCACCTATCTCTCAGTCATACTGCGGTAGGAAATAGTCCAACTCGTCCATGCTGACCAAGTTTCCCAGACTAAACTAGTCCCATTTGACTGCGTTTGACCCATATCCAAACCTTCCCTATTCATGGGTACTTATCCAAATGTCTTTTAAATGTAACTGTACCTGCATTTACCACTTCCTCTGGCATTTCATTCCACATACAAACCATCCTTTGTGTGGAAAAAGTTACCCCTCGGGTCCATTTTAAATCTTTCTCCTCTCACTTTAAAAATATGCCTTCTAGTTTTGAACTCCCATATCCGAAAGAAAAGACCTTAGCTGTTAACAGTTGTGATAAACAGTCTCCAGGTTTGAAATGTTAACTCTGCTTTCGTTCTTCACACAGATGCTGCCAGACCTTTCTGATGACTTTCACCAATATTTTCTGTTTTTGTTTCAGATCTCTAGCATCCCCAATTCTTTAAAAAAAAATGCGAAAGAACTGCGGATGCAGATCTGAGGAAGGGTCACCGGACCCGAAACGTTAACTGTGTTTTTTCCTTCACAGATGCTGCCAGACCTGCTGAGCTTTTCCAGCAACTTTATTTTTGTTCGGTGTTTTATCCCCAGTTCTTTGTTTCATTCAAGATTATTACAATTGTGTTGAGGCACCCAAGAAATGGAACATGCTGTATAGAGACTGGTTGAGTCTCACTGCACTCTACTTTTCCAGCCAAAATGATTTGTAATGTATTTTTACAAACATTATGCGTAAAGTGCATCCTTTGTGGGGTGTGGGGGGAGGTTGCATGAGAACCTGTCTCTCCTTTCTCAGGTGCAGAATGATCACAAACAGATCTTTAAAGTTATGAAAGGTTTTTATACACAGAGAAAGCGGGGGGAAGCAGTCACGAAAAGTCAAATACGGGATTGAGGAGAAACGTCTTCGCCTAAAGAGCGGAGAGAATGTGGAACTCGCTCGCATAGGAAGGGGTCGAAGTGAATCGTGTTGTTCTCTTGCAAGGAAAATCTGGTTGAACAAATGAAGGGTGTTGGGGAGCAATGGGGCAGAACTAATGACCCAGACCTGGTCGGCGGATTGGTCTATTTCTGCGCTGAAAATTCGAGGAGAGCAAGTGAGCAAAGCTAACCAGTGGGAAGTGGTGGATTATTCAGGATGAAGAATGCTCGAACTCAGTGAATAACTGACTCCGGAACCTTCTGAAGCTGCCAAGTGGTGACCAAATGCTCCAATATACACAGTTACCTGCCAACGTCCGAATTAACGACTCCTCAACCCCTAGCCGCTCCCGGGACCGGGCGGAAGGTGTAAAGGGACGGACCGGAAGGAGACAAACCTGGTTTTCCGTCTGATTCTGAACAGCGGCATCAGGAGGAACATGGGGGTGAGGGAGATTGAGAAAGAAAGGGTGTGAGGGAAGAGGAGAATAAGAGTAGTCAAGGACAGGGAAAGATTCGGGGGGTGGCTTTGGCGGAGAAGGAAAGATTTGGGGGTGGGGAGGTGGCTTTGGTTGGAGATGGAAAGATTGAGGTCGTGGCAGCGAGGGAAAAGGGGGTGTAATGGGGAGAGAGAAGCTGTGCTGGGAGTTTGCTGAAGGGTTATTTGCAGAGACAGGACACATGATGTCGATTTATGTACATGTCTCGGGCATTTACTGCTGATGCGGTGGTTGGTCCTGACTGATTATTATCTGTTTTCCTGAGAAATGATCTGTGATCTAGATATTTATTCTCTAGAGAAAGTCATCCAAAGCCAAGGAGAAGAAGCAAAGAAGACTAGAGGAGAGAGCAGCAATGGATGCTGTCTGTGCAAAAGTTGAAACGGCAAACAAGGTAAAATAGTCTAGGGATGTGATAGGGAGCAAATGAGACAATCAGCAGGCAGAAGGAGGGGGTGCCCACAGACGTTTGGTGGAGGAGAAGCCGGAGTGAGAGTTGGCAAGGGGTTGAGCAGGCTGGGAATGAGTGTGGGGGTCTGGGTTCGGGGGAGGTCGAGTTTCCAGGAAAGGTGTCTGAGAGGTTGCTGTCCAAGGGAAACACTTGGTATTCAGGGGGACAGGCTAAGGGGTGAGCAGATGATTGGAAGCTGTTGTTTAGGGTCGACCGGGTTAAGATTTGAGAGGGAGTGTGGGACTTGGGAGTAGATTTACAAACTTAGACGATGTTAAGGTTTGGGGGAGGGGCTGCAAGTTGAGTAGGGTGGGGGGGACGTGGAGATCAGTTGGAAGTTGTTGGGGAAGAGGTTTAGGACTTGGGATCTGCTTCATTGGAGAAGAGGAGGCCAGATTTGGGGAGGGGGTGGTGTTGGGATTGGGACCCCAGAACCACATGTCAGCTCCATAGGTGTGAACTCCATTAAGAACATAAGAACCAGGAGGAGTAGGCCATCTGGCCCTTCGAGCCTGCTCCGCCATTCAATAAGATCATGGCTGATCTTTTCATTGTCTCAGTTCCACTTACCCACCCTCTCACCATAACCCTTAATTCCTTTACTATTCAAAAAATTATCTACCTTAGCTTTAAAAACAATCAACAACAAAGCCTGAACTACTTCACTGGGCAGGGAATTCCACAGATTCACAATCCTTTGAGTGAGGAAGTTCCACCTCAATTCAGTCCTAAATCTGGTCCCCCTAATTTTGAGGCTATGCTCTCTTGTTCTACTTTCACTCTCCCTGCTTTTATCTTATCTATTCCCTTCATAATTTTATGTTTCTGTAAGATCCCCCCTCATTCTTCTAAATTCCAATCAATATAATCCCAGTCTGCTCAACCTCTCCACATAAACTAACCTTGTCGATCCAGAATCAACCTACTGAATCTCCTCTGCACCCCCTTCAGTGCCAATACATCCTTTCTCAAGTAAGGAGATCTAAACTGTACATAGCACTCCAGATGTGGCCTCACCAGCACCCTGTACAGCTGCAGTGTAATGTCCCTGTTTTTAAACTTGATCCCTCTAGCAATGAAGGACAAAATTCCATTTGCCTTCTTAATTACCTGTGGTAGCTGCAAACCAACCTTCTGCAATTTATGCACAAGGATACATGGGTTCCTTTGCACAGCAGCATGCTGCAATTTTTTACCGTTCAAGTAATAGTCTCTTCTACTGTTATTCCTACCAAAATGGATGATTTCACATTTATCAACATTGAATTCCATCTGTCAGACCTTCGCCCACTCACTTAAACAATTTGCTTCCTTGTTTCAGAGACCTTTGTACACTTTGCTCTACCACTCGCCTTAGCGTCATCTGCAAACTTTACACACTACACATGGTCCCTAACTCTAAATCATCCATGCAAATTATAAATTATTGCAGTCCCAGCACTGATCCCGGTTGCATTCCTTTCCTATATTCTGTAGCTGAGGTTACTGGGTACTAGATGGCCTGGTGAGTCATAATCTGCTTTACTGTGCCCCAGATTATTTCATTTTTCATGTTACCTTGTCTCCTGAGGGCAGCAGTTGACGTCCTGGGAAATGATCACTTGCTCCCTGGTCCTTCACCCAAAATCCTTGTTCTTCATGTGGGTGCTTATTTGGCTGTTCAACTATGGAATCTATCCTGGTTGACCCTGAGGCTTCTTAGCACTTGTTCTCACTCACTCATTCACAGTGCAGATCCAGTCACAAGTAGAGCTGCTGGAGCGACCATGGTTATTTCAAATCTCAACATGTCGACACAAATCCCTCAGGTCGATGGTGGCTATGCAGGTCAGTCAGCATCTGAGGAATGAACAAACAAGTTATTGCTTCAGTTGACTAAACCTCCAGCAGCATGCATGCCCCTCCATTGCCAAGTGCTGCCAGAAATGAATTCCTGGAGTAATTTGTCCAAGATTTACCCAACTCCCATGCATACAGGAAGCAAAGAAGAGGCCAGATTGCAAGCTTCTTTAAATGTACTTCAAAACAGAAATACATGTTTTGGTTCTAGGACTGGGAGGGGAAAGCCACGAGGCTACCTGATTACAATTCAATCAGTGTTGCTACTGAACATGCTTGTGAGTGTTTACTTGAGATATGGTGTGGCTGAAGTTTGGGTCATGAACTTTCATCAGAATGTTGGTTGCAGGCCTGAAACATTAACTGTTTCTCTCTCTAGCTGCCACACCTGCTAAATATTTCTGGTATTTTCTGATTTTACTTCACATTCGGCATTCAAACTATTTTGGTCTTGTGTTGTTTAAAGAAATTTAAATTAAATGCAATTTTTCTTTCTGTCTTTTGCATTTTAAGCTTGATGATCCATTAGCATCTTTTCCTGCCTTCAAAAAATATGACCGAAATGGGTAAGTGTCATTTTTTGGAACTTCCCTCACCTTGGTTTGTTAACGTGTTACATCATGCATCATCTCTCCTCCTACCCTAGGACTCGGAACATTGGACTTGGCAGCAGGAAAAGATTCAGCCCTTCAAGCTGCTCTGCCATCAAATAAAATATTGACTCACCTGGTCATGGTCATTCCACCTCTCTGTCTGCCCCAAACCTGCTCCTCACCAACCCTTGACTCCCTTATCACTCAAAAATCTACTCCACTCAGCCTTGAATAAATTCAGTTACAGCTTCCATTTCCTCCTGTGGAAGAGAATTCCTGTCGACTCTCAGAAAAAAACATCTGAACTCTGTCTTGAAACAGAGACCTCTTAGGAGACTTTCACGTGGTTCTAGTTTCTTGCACAAAACAAAACATCCTTTCAGCACACGTCTGAACAAGGAACAAGAGTAGGCCACTCAGCCCTTTGAGCCTGTTCTGCCAATTATTAAGATCATGGTTGATCTGACTTTAACCTAACCCTACAATTCTGTATATGCACAATCTTTCATTCCCTTCTTAATCAAGAACCTATCTACCTCTGCCTTAAAGATTCTGTTTCCGATGCCTTTTGAGGAAAGGAATTCAAAAGATCCTCTAACAGAAAAAAGGTTTCCTCATTTGTACTGTAAAATTATGTGATTTGTGTTAAATAAATGACTCCCACAAGAGGAAACATCCTTACCATGTCCACTCAGTGAAGTGCCCTCAGGGTCTTGTATGTTTCAATTAAGTCACCTATGACGTTTCTAAACTCCAGAAGTCTAGCCTTTTCTCATTAGGCAGTCTGCTCAATGCAGGTATTAGTCTGTTAAACCTTCCTTGAACTGCTTCCAGTACATTAACATCCTTCTGTAAGTGTTGTGACCAGTACTCCAGATGTGATCTCACCAATGCCCTGCTACTCTTGCATTCAATTCCCCTCACAATAGACCATAACATTTTATTAGCTTTCCTGATTACTTGCTGTATCTACATACTAAACTTCCATGATTCATGCACTAAGACACCCAGATTTCTGCATCTGAGTTCTGCAACCTCTCACCATTTAGATAGTATTTCTTTTTTATTCTTTGTGCCAAAATGGACAATTTCACACTTTCCCACATTGTATTCTATTTGTCAGATCATTGCCCACTCACTTAACTTGTCTCTATCCCTTTGTCAGCTCTTTGTGTCCTCTTCACAACTCACTTTCCTACCTAGCTTTGTGTCACCTGCAAATTTTAGTATCAGACCTTTAGTCCCTTTATCCAAATTGTTCTCCCTTTGACAAACCATTTTGGCTCTGTCTGAATGCCTTGAACTCATCCAAGTGTCCAATTATAACATTTTAATAATAGTTTCTAACATTTTCCTTTTATGGATAATAAGCTAACTGGCCTATAGTTTCATGACATTTTTTCCCCTGCTCCCTCCCTTTTGGAATAAAGGAATTATATTAGCTATTTTTCATAGAAACTCCACAGCACAGAAAGAGGCCATTAGGCCCATTGAGTCTGCACCGACCCTCCGAACAGCATCCCACCAAAACCCCCACCTACCCCCTGCTATCCAGATGCACTTTCACAGAGGTCAGTAAGTATCCTATCTCCAGTCAAAATCAAGTCTAGTATTGCAAGCTGTCTGGTTGGTACCATAACATAATAAAAATCGAAAGAACTGCGGATGCTGTAAATCAGGAACTAAAAAAGAATAAAGGGGAGGGGTTGGGGTAGGGAGTAAATGATAGGATAGAGCCTAAAGAGAGAGAAGATCGGTTGGACAGACAAGTTGATAACTCCTTACCCCACCCCCCTCCCCTTTTTTCCTGCATATAAACTGACATTTTCCCGGCCACCATCAGTTCTGAGGAAGGGTCACCAGACCCGAAACGTTAACTCTGTTTTTTCCTTCACAGATGCTGCCAGACCTGCTGAGCTTTTCCAGCAACTTTGTTTTTGGTACCATAACATGCTGGTCTAAGAAACTATTCCAAAAACATCATCTAAACAATTTTAAACAATCTAATTTTTTCCGTGTGAATGTATGTTAAAATCTCCCATGATAATTGCTCACCCTTATTGACAAGCTCCCAATATTTCTTCCTTGATACCCTGCCCTACCATGTGGTTACTGTTAGGGGGCCTATATACAACTCCCACAAGTGACCTCTTTCCTTTTTCATTCCTCATCTCTACTGCTTCTACATTCGGCTTTCCTGAATTTAGGTCATCCCTCTCGATTGTACTAATTTCATCTGCAATTACCAGAGCCACTCCCCCATCCTCTCCTATTTTCCTGTCCTTCCTTAATGTTGCATACTTTACAATATTCAGGTCCCAATCTAGGTCATCCTGCAGGTGCATCTCAGTTTTGGCTACTAGATTGTACTATACATCTCAATCTCTTTTTTTTACCTAGAATGAACATAGTGATAGAGTGCAAAAGAGTAACAGACTTGGACCCCAGCACTGTGGACTGGGCAGTGGAACTGACCAAGACCAACATGCAGACCATGTGAGTGAGCCATAGGGGATTGGTGCTCCACTGGATGAGGGAATAGAAAGTGGATATATCAGAGGAACTGTAGGTAATACTTTCCATGCCACCCCACAGTAATTAAGCACTGACTGGCAGGATTAGGTGGGTGCCTGATGGTTGAGTTTAGTGATGTATGATTACAGAAAGTTATTGTGCATCTGTATTTGAAACTAACATTGATTGGAGAGTCAAGGCACACCCTCTGTTACACTGTTTTTAGACCAGGATCTCAAATCCTCTGTACTGACATTAAATAATTCATATTGGCCCTAAGACACTTAGAAGAACTCCTCCCTTCACTTTTCCAGTAATGGCAGTTGGATCCTTTATGCCCACCTACGAAAAGAAACGAGATCTGAATGTCTTGTCTGAAAGATGGTGCCTCTGACAATGCAGTATATCTCAATACTGGCATCAGAAATGTTGGCTTGCGATACGTGCACAAGTGACTGGAATGAGACTCAAAGGTGCAAACTTGTGGTGATTGTGCTACCTTTAGCAATGGAGTTGTATTCTTTCTCGCCTAATTCACTGCTCCTTCTGAGTGTTTCTTGTGAAGAGGGTTATAGGCAATGATGTCATGGGGAGCCAATAGCAGTAACAGGATAGGATCCTGGGTGTGGGAAGGCAGGTGTGGCTGAGCTGGGGATGGGGTTTGTTGCCCAAGGCAGATACACCAAAAGCTTTGCAGATTGCTTCAACCTTTCACTCTCTTCTGGCAGGTACGAGCAAAGTGAGTGGGGCTGGAAGGATCGAGAGAAGAAGGAGGAGATGACAGATGAACGAGCGTGGTATCTGGTTGCACGGGAAGGAGACAGTGCGGTGCCCACAGCTTTCTCACATTTCCGATTTGATGTGGAGTGTGGGGAGGAAGTACTGTACTGGTATTCTTGCGTTATACTTAATGATTCCCCGCAGAGGGTGGCAGCTCCGATCGTGCACAAGGCTTGGCGGGAAGGGTGGCCGCACATAGGTGGCGAGGCCAATGGCGACCTCCTGATGTAAAACTGCTGGTGACGGGAAGCAAAGTATTGGTGCCCACGGAGTCTGTGGCACGGAAATGACCTGACTGACTGTGATTTAAGGTGACTCAGCTTTCCATCACAGTGAGTGTTCTGTTCTCTGTACCCTCCACCAACCTTGGGAGCCATCCTCCCTAACTCATTCATGTGCCACATTCATCGTGTGCAGACATTGATGGCGAGTTTTGAAACCTTATTTGATAAGTAGAGGGGCGCATGATGGCCAACTGTTGATCCTGGCCCACAGCTAGATACAGAGTAAAGCTCCCTGCACACTGTCCCATCAAACATTTCTAGTTGAGACGGGGAATCTCTGGAAATGGGATGTATGTGTTGTAAAGTCAGTGTCAACTCTGTACAATAACCTGACAGGTTTGTCTTGTGTTGCAGTTATGAGGTTCAGCTGGAGAGTCGGGTGAGGAGGAAAGGGTTGGGCAAATTCTTAATGCAGATTCTACAGCTTTTAGCAAACAGGTAAAGAGGTGATATTATGGAGATAGTAAATTTGCTTCCCCATTCTCTTGGTCTCTCCCTAATGCTGGCTATCTTCCAGTGCTGTACTCAGTGGACTATTCTTGGTGTATGAGCCATTGTCAGACAATGTTCTTGGGGGAGAAAAAGCATTTCCCCCGTCCTCTGCTCACATTCTCTACCCCTGTCCAAGGTGGAGATTGTGTTTAGTTGTGGAACAAATTGTTCTGAGCTGGCATTGTTTCTCTGTATATTCAAGAACCTGCAATTTCCAGTCACAATCTCTCCATCACCTCTCCCAACAGGTTTCCCCCTGTGAGCAGAGGGATTTGGCAGGCAAGATTGGAAAAGAACCTGGCAGGATTGCATGGGGAGACCCTGTGCCACCCAGTTAGCAGTGTGTCAGAAAGTGCTCAGAAAATAAGGGCAGGTTCAGTCTGTGCAATGGGATGAGATTGACTCTTGCTCTGTGCTTTTTCTGCAGTACACAGATGAAGAAAGTGATGTTAACAGTATTTAAGCACAACCATGGAGCATATCAGTTCTTCAAAGAGGCAATGCAGTAAGTTGTGATCTGGAGTCTGTATTATTAGAGGGGATGTCTGAGGACACATCGATGAGAATACATGCACTTGCATGCATGCAAACACTATCTATCACACTCCAGTGTTCTCAGCGTCCTGTAGGTAATATTTACCTATCAACTAAGAACTAAAAACACATTGTCTGGTTGTTACCTAATTGCTAATTTTTTGGGGAAAAAAAGATAAAGAAATGCTGATGCTGGAAATCAGAAACAAAAACAGAAGGGTTTGAATAAGGGTCACTGGACCTGAAATGTTAATTCTGCTATCTTTCCATAGATACTGCCAGACCTGCTGAGATTTTCCAACAATTTCTGCTGATTTTTGGGAGCTCACTATATGCAAATTGATTATTGCAGTGTAGGAACTGCACAAGTAACTATGCTTCAAAAGAGCTTAGTTGGCTGTGAAATACTTTGGAATATCCTGAAGTTTGAAAGATGCTATGGAAATACAAGTCTTTTCCTTACCTGGTCTGGCTGACATTGATTCCAGTCCCATGCTGTATAGTTGAAACTCAGTATCCTCATTTTTCAGGACAGGTAAAGGAGGAGCTAAATATGTCTTTGTCAACATTGTTGAAAATCTGAGTTTTCTGAGATCTGAAAATCAGCATTAAATTCAACATGTTAGGCAAAACTGTCTTGGATAGGACTACAATCTTGCGTACTTAACATTAATGCAGTTTGACTTTGGTAGGGCAGCCATCCAGAGATCCTGATTGTTTGTTTTGCTTTATTCATTCATGGGATGAAAGCATCGCTGGCTGGGACAGCATTTATTGCCCATCCCTAGTTTTCAGAGTCAACCACCTGGCTGGGTGTCTGGAGTCCTATGTAGGCCAGATCAGGTAAGGATGGCAGTTGCTTTCCCAAGGATACTGGTGAACCAGATGGGTTTTTGCAACAATCGACAATCAATTCATGGTCATCATGAGACTCTTATTTCCAGTTTTTAATTCACTGAATTCAAATTACATCACCATGGTGGGATTCGAACGTGGGTCCCCAGGACATTATCGGGGTCTCTGGATTAATAGTCCAGTAATAATACCAGAGGCCACTGCCTCCCTTTTATTGTAGGATTGCAAAGTAGCAAAGGAGCCTTTAGCCTCAAGACATCACAAATTAAACTGTTACTGCTGTGTTTGACTTTCCTGACCTTTCGATCCACAGGTTCGATATTGATGAGTCATCTCCCAGTGTCTCTGGGTGCTGTGGAGATGACTGCTCCTACGAGATACTGAGCCGGAGAACCAAATATGGGGAGCACCCACATCCACATGGCAGTCCACACTGCGGAGGATGCTGTCATTGAAGGATCAACATTGAGCCCCCACCCCTCCAAAATTTCCCTTCCAAACAGATTCATAATGCCGTACGAAATGGAAACTGAGTGAGTGTTCAGTGTATAAGCTATCACAGTATGTGAGTTGTTGGAGAAAGCTTTGCTTGAAAGGTTTTTTTTCCAAACGCACGTACTGTGAATAACACCCAGACTCTCATTGCCAGCCCCTACAACTCCATAGCTGGCCATTTGGAGCCAAATCACCTTGCTATTTACTGGCCAAATGACAGCTCCTCCTTTTTGAATAGTAAAAGGGCTGTTTCCAAATTTTTTTTAAGAAACAACCTTTTTTGTATATAAAAAAAGATCAAAAATAATTGAGTCTGAGCAGAATATTGAACAGAAAAATAATGGAATTGTGGACTTTTCTAAAGTTCAGTTTTTGAATAAATTACATTTCAGCAAGTTTGAGGACATACTGTACATTATGTCTGTAATATATTTAATAAAGCAGCTTTCTTTGAATACTTTCCATTTTTAATTCCCTGTACACACTTGTAGGAACTACCTATGTAAACCTGTCACAGGGTAATAACGCCCTGCTATCACTGGAGGTGCTTAGTGTCTGACAACCTTACATTGGCAGTGCCATTGTACATGTCCAGGTAGAAATTTGTATTGGAAGTAAGAGCAGAGATGTTGCATTAAAATAGAGTCTAATCTTCAGTTGGTCCAATTATCCCTCACTCTCTTCTTCACCTGAAGTCTGCAATAGGTCCCCATCATCCGATTCCTAGATTATGACACAAATAGAAATGAATGTGTCCTTCTAGTTTTATATCCAGGTTCAATACTTCTGGCACCAAATTACAGATTAAATTACCAGCGGCTCTAATGATTGTGTGTGGCCAACAAAAAGATTTGAGTACTGCAGATGGGTCCAATGACTATCTCCCAGATTTGTTTAATCAGCCAGTGCACATGAACCTGGATATCTTTTTAAAGTATCGTCGGGCTTTTGTGTCTTTGACATAGAGAACCAGAGACTGAGATCCAAACAACAATTGTCCTTACTTTGCAAGCTTTCCACTGATTATTTCTTCATTTTTGAATCCTGTTTAACTGTACTTTGCATATAAGGAGTTGGTCCTTGAAATAGGACACATCCAGACTTAAATTATTTGTACCATGGGGTTGTGGGCCTTGTTTCTTTTAAAAATATAATTATCGAATAAATTTTTTTTACTGTTCTTTTCTCTCTCGTTTTGTTCCCTACTATTTCTTGCCCTCGGTTTCCGTTTTTATTTCTAACAAAGGAAGCAGGTAGTTTCCTTGTGTCTGTAACAATTGACTTGTAGCAGTTTTATCACCTGCAAAGTGAAAAACAGCAACCCCAACACAAACTGACCCCACAGCAATAAATGTTATGTTGAAGCATCAGAAGTCCAGAAAATGGCAGGTCCAGTATTTGGCCTGGGCTCTTTGAGCTAGGACATCAGTTTTAGGAATGTTGGGAACAGAGGTTTGAGGCATTCAGCCCTGGAGTTTTTTTTTGGAAGCAAGTTAGATTGTGATTGGCCTGTACCTACAGTCCGTGACCAGCTCTTGCTCCCTATACCCAGTAGGGGACACAGTTGAGCTCTGCTATGTCCTTGTCAAGTGGAGAATGGTAATTCACAGTCAGCATCTTGAGATCAAAAGGCTGACAATTTCAGATTGTGGACATTTGAGGCTAACTACACGTAGCTAGTTCACATCCGTTTTTGTTACTACACAGTGAGCACAAGTAGGACATTTAAGTAGAAAGATAAAATTATGTTTTGACAAGAACAGTTCAGCATTTGTGAATTGGCCTACACTTGTTAGCTATAGTTCAGTGAGTAGCAGCTCACTGTTGGTGAGTCACGTTCCAGCATTTAAGTAGGTGATCCAGGCTAGCATATGAAGACAGTTTTTTAAAACTTCTTTGTAAATGTGGACATCACTGGTCAGCATTTATTGCCCATCGCTAATTGCCCTGGAGAAGGTGGCATCTTTGAACTACAGTTCTTGGGATGTGAGAACATTCACTACTGTTAGGAAAGGCGTTCTAGGATCTATTGACAGTGAGGAAACAGCAATAGATTTCAGGATGGTATGTGGTTTGGAGGGAAACTTGAAAGTGATGTTCCCATGTATCTATTGCTCTTATCCTTCTGAGTGGAAGAGGTTGTCAGTTTGGAAAGTGTTGTCGAGGGAAACTAGGTGAGTAGTTGTACATCCTGTAGACATTACACACTGCTACCACCATGCATCTGGTTGAAGCAAGTTAAGGCCATAAGACATAGGAGCAGAAATTAGGCCATTTGGCCCATTGAGTCTGCTCTGCCATTCAATCATGGCTGGTAAGTTTCTCATCCCCATTCTTCCTGGAAGTTTGATCCTCTTGACAATCAAGAACCTGTCTATCTCTGTCTTAAATATACTCAATGACCTGGTCTCCACAGCCTTCTGTGGTAATAAATTCTATAGATTCACCTCACTCTGGCTGAAGAAGTTTCTCCTCATCTCCGTTCTAAAGGGTCTTTCCTTTACTCTAAGGCTGTGCCCTTGGGTCCTAGTCTCTCCTGCTGATGGAAACATCTTCCCAATATCCACTCTGTCCAGGCTGTTCAGTATTCTGTAAGTTTCAATTAGATTCCCCCCATATCCTTCTAACCTCCATTGAGTATAGACCCAGAGTATGTTCCTATGAGAATTTACCAGAGAACTATGTTGTACTACTTCTATTTAAGTCAAAAAAAGGCACACGGCCTGGACATGTTCATTTTTCATGCAGATGGCAAATTCCTGCATATGAAGTTTCTAGCCAGCATGAATGAACCACGTGAACCCAATTGATAATCTTTATTGTTGGTGTGATTCATCTCGCATTCAAGAGGTACTCTCCAATAATAGAATCATATCTAACTTTATAGATTATCTTATTTGTTTAATGATATTGAAGGTTGGATGGGTGCCAACCAAGTGGATGCTTTGTCCAGGTTAGTTTCAAGCCTCTTGACTGTATATTCATCCAGGCAAGTGGGGAGTATTCCATCAAAGTCCTGTATTGTGCTTTATAGATCATGCACACACTTTGGAGAGTCAGGTGGTGAGCCACTCACTGCAGGATTTGTAGCCTCTGACTGGCTGTTGCAGCCACAGTATTTATATGACTGGTCCAGTTCAGTTTCTGGTCAATGGTAACCTCCAGGATGTTGACAGTGATTTAATTATTCCAATATAGTAGGTTGACAAGGAGCAATGTTTAAATTTGTTGGAGATGGTCGTTGCATGGCTCTTGAGTGTGGCTGTTACTTGCCACTTATTAGCTCCAGTCTGGATATTGTCCAGGTCTTGCTGTATTTGGACATTGACTGTTTCAGTATCTGTAGAATTCTGGTGCTGAAAATGCAAGCATCAAAAAACATCCCCATTCCTGACTTTATGGTGGAGGGTTGGTCATTGCAGTTGAAGATAGGTGGCCTAGGTCACCACTGTAGAACTTAGTGATGTTATGGGACTGGTGATAACCTTCAACAACCATACTTATTTTCGTATGTGCTACATATGACTCTAACCATGGAGGAGTTTCTCACATGATTCCCATTGACTCCAGTTTTGCTAGGGCTCGATGATGCCATACTTGGTCAAATGTTGCATTAAGGTCAAAGGTAGTCAATTCCCCTCACCTCTGGAATTTGGCTCTTTTGTCCATGAGTGAACCAAGGCTGTAATTGAGGTCAGCAGCAGAGTAGCCCAAAGTGAGCATCAGTGAGCAGGTTATTCATTTGCAAATGCCACGCAATTGCACTGTCAACCGTCCCTTCTTTACTCAGAGAGTAGTAAGGGCGTGGAATGCCCTGCCTGCAAAAATAGTAGACTCGCCAACTTTAAGGGCATTTAAATGGTCATTGGATAAACATATGGATGATAATGGAATAGTTTAGGTTAGATGGGCTTCAGATTGGTTTCACAGGTCGGTGCAACATCGAGGGCCGAAGGGCCTGTACTGCGCTGTAATGTTCTATGTTCTGTCACTTCACTGAATAAACTAATAGTGCAGTAATTGGATGAGTTGGAATTGCCCTTCTTTTTGTGAATACCTGGACAATTTTCCATATTTTCTGGCATATCCCATTGTTAGAAGCAGATTGATTATCAGTGCATCTTGTTCTGGGGAAAACATTGCCAGAATGGTGTCAGGCTCCATGGCTTTTGTAGTATCCAGTGCCTTTAGACATTTCCTGATACTATGTGGAGTTGAGTGTACTTAAAACAAAGATAGATAGATTCTTGATTAGAAAAGAGATACAGGGTTACAAGGAGAAGACAGGAGAGTGGAGTTGAGAAACATATCAGCTGTGGCAAAGCAGACTCGGGCTAAACGGCCTAATTATATTTCTATATCTTATAGTCTTGTGGAATGAATTCTGAAGACTTACATCTGTGATGCCATGGACCTCAAAAGGAGACTGCGATGGATCATCAATGTGGCAGTTCTGGCTGAAGATAGATACAAATTCATCAGCCTTATGCACTTGATGAGAATGAGGATATTTATAGCACCTCCATCTCTAGTGAGTTGTTTAGTTATCTGTTATCATTTGTGACAATGTGACCTTGTCACTGTTTGGCATTCAAGTAGTCACCAGGTTGACACCTCTTTTTTTAACGGTATGCCTGGTGCTGCTCTTGGTATAACCTGTTTGGAGAACCAGTGTTGATCTCCCAGCTTGTTGGTAATGATTGGATGGGGAAATGCCAAGCAACGAGTTTACAAATTGTGACTGAATACAATTCTGTTGCTGATGGCCACTAAACTTCATAGATTGGAGGTCTAGTTTTGAGTTGCTAGATCTTTCTGAAGTTTTTCCCACTTAGTAGAGTGCTAGTGTCACATAACATGGAAGTTACCCTCAATGTGCAGACAGGACTTAACAAGGACTGCACAGTGGTCACTCTTACTAATATTGTTATGAACAGATGCATTTGCAGCAAATTGGTGGATTTGGTTGGTGGGATGAGGGCAAGTAAATTTTTGACCTCTTGTGGGTTCCTGCAGAGCCAGTCTATATGTTCTTTAAGACTTTGCCAGTTCAGTTGGTAGTGGTCTACCGCACCACTTTTCATGATAGACATTGAAATCCTCCACTCAGAGTACGTTCAGTGCCTTTGCCATCCTCAGTCTTTCCTCCAAGCAGTGTTCAACATGGAAGGGTACTAATTCATTAGCAAGGGGCAGGGTGAGGTTGTATGTGGTGATCAGCAGGAAGTTATCTTGCCAGTGTTTGGTCTGAAGCTATAACACTTCATGGGGTTCAAAATCAACATTAAGACTTTCTAGGCAACTACCTCCTGAATATATACCACAGTACCTTCAACTCTGGTGGGTCTGCTGTGCTGATGGAAAAGCATATATTCATGTATGGTGACGATGGTGCCTGAGACATTGTATTTAATGATTCCAGGAGAATGACTGACTGTATCAGCCTATTGCTTGTCTAGTCTATGAAACATATCCATTAATTTTGGCACAAGCCTCAGATATTGGTAAGTACTATTTTACAGGGTCACTTGGGCTTGGTTTGTCGTGCTCGTTTCCAATGCCTATGTTGATACAAGGTGATCCATCCACTTATGATCCTTTCTTTAGGTTGTATAGCCACTTTGACACAACTGAGTGGCTTGCAGTCAAGAGTCAACCACACTTGTTGTGGTCTGAAGTCCCATGTAGACTATACCAGCTGTTACAATAAGATCACAGATGAACCCTCAATTTGTAACAACTAGATCCTGAGCACTGTTCACGTTTTTAAGGTTCCAGACCACATTGTCAGGTTCCTGGATGAGGGGAGATGAAGCCTTCTTTATTCATCCGCATCATCAGTTGGTAGCAACAATTCAATTTACTGTGCATTTTCCCTTCCTCTGCCCATCCTTGTGGATACATTTCTCTCATACCAAATAAATTTGTTTTAAAAAGGAGGCAATTTAATGAAGTTTTCTTGAATTAACAAAACAAGTATGTTTATTAGTGAATAAATGTGAGAATAATAAAGTAATGTAATACATAGATTAGAAATAAGAAGTGAGTCCAAAAAAAATTAATGTTAAAAGATATACAGATGTGACTCAGTGGTTTATTTGGGAGGTGTGGAATTCTGATAATTAAGTAGTTGATTTAGAGATAATAACAGAAACTTCTATTCTCTTTCCTTCTGACTGA